CTCCCTAATTTAATATCAAACTGATAATACACGCACACCAATTGGCTTCTACGGATCGCGTCCTCGACCTCAAAAGGAATTAGCAGCCAAGATATATTCTACTTCTGAATACTCGGTGTGCGTCGGGATCCCAAAACGCTGCGGCGGTAGCGGCGGAAGGTTCAAGGCTCGGGCGGGTGCTCTGAAATAATTTGGTTGAAACAACCATGAGACACTTCTCAATAAGTCATAACCTAAACCCTACCTAGGCTACCACGTATTCCAGACAAGTTCAGACCTTGAAACGAACAACACGAACAAACACTATCCACGCAATCACACTTACCTGGAGTCTTGGCATACTCAGCCTGCACGTTAGTTCATAATCACAACATTCAAACTCGCACGCATTTCACACTTCGCGCACCAAAAACCCCACACATTTCCATGCCAAAAACACGCATTTATCACGCACTATCGCATCAATTACATTTACTTTCCTCGTCTTGCCCCACTAGCTCAATCACTTTCTCGACCCGCGTAAACACGCCTCAGGCCCACACGATCGCGCCCCGAGCACCACACGCCTCGGTCCGATCCCACTTTCTCTTACCATACCACGCACCCCGTTCTCAATCACATTCCTCGGCCCGCGTAAACACGCCTCAGGCCCACACGATCGCGCCCCGAGCATCACACGCCTCGGTCCGATCCCATTCTTACTTTCTTTCCTCAGCCCGCGCCAAATGCGACAGGCCTACATAATCGCGACCCGGGCTTATCATGCCTTGGCCCGATCCCATTCTCACTTTCTTTCCTCAGCCCGCGCCAAATGCGACAGGCCTACATGATCACGACCCGAGCTTATCATGCCTCGGCCCGATCCCATTCTCATGCTCACACACATTCGCATTAAATTCCGTGCACACAATTGCACCCAATACATCACGACACACAGTCATATCATAAACACGCGATCAACACACATACTGGCATTTTTCTACACCCAAACGTTATCAAATCAATTCAGGCCCTTCACGGCATTTTCACGAAATCTCAAGCCGGACCTAACGGTACCAACCACGCAACACACAGCAACCCACAACACATAAAACATCACATCACAGCCATCAATCAGTCTTTTTCGGCTTCAAAATTACCATATCTCACTCCCGGCTCTTCACGACACCTTCATAAAATTCCGAACCGGATCTAACGGTACCATCCACGTACCCAACATCACCCTACAGCCCTTCAAACAGACCATCACAGCCGTCTCCCGGCCTCTAAAATTTTTCCAAAAATTCCCGAAATCAATCCTACGGCCCGTTATTCCGTTCAGCCCCTAATTTCTATCAAACCGCGTCTAAACGGGTCCAAATTTACCCGATAAACTAGGCGAGGTTTAGATCGCGACTTACCGACACTCTAGACTAACGCGGCTAGAGCGAAAAGCGGCGGCGATCGACGGGGACGGCGGCGAACGGCGGCGCGGCTTGGCGGCTTGGACGGATGGCGATGGTGGCGAGCGGCGGCGGCCTTCCTTGGCCGACCAGCTCACGGCCAAGAGAGAGAATCGGGAGGGAGAGAGGACGGCGTGAGGGTCGGGGGTGGCTTGGTGGTGTGGTACGGCGGCGGTCCGGGCGGTGGTGACCGGCGATGATGGCTCGGCGGCGATCGGCAAGAGGAGAGAGAGAGAGAGGGAGAGTCCACGGTGGGGGGGGGGGGGGGAATGTTGCCGTGAGGGAGAGAGAGAGGAATGAGGAGAGAGAGAGGGAGTCTTGACTCAAATAGTAGAATTTGGACTAAAATGGAAAATTACAATCTTGCCCTTCTCTCACAAATTCAACCGACGGCCCAGATTTGATCTTATTTTGAAATCAACGGCCCGGATCGAATCTTTTCTAAAATATCTAAGGGCAGTCTGGGAATTTCTCAAAAAGTCCAAGGGTAAAAATGTCATTTCTCGAAACCAGAGCAAAATTACCAAAATGCCTCTCCCTCATAAAACATGCCCTTCATAAATCCCTAAGGGCAAAATGGTCATTTTCCTCATTTCTTGCCAAAATTAAATTTTTCTGAAGGATTCGGGACATTCCAAATTTGCACGTTCCAACTGCAACGTTGTCCTAACGCCCCGCTGTGACTTCCTAATTTTCCGGTGTCCGATTTGGGCTAAATTAAATAATTAAATTTTATTAAACGCAACTCGAGCGTTTCTCAAACTAACGGGCGGCTTTTTGGGGAAATTCGCATATTCGACCCGTGACTAATAATAATTCAAGTCACGTGCAAGTTCATTCGGTTCGTGACGACTTTGGTTGTCATTTAAATCGCGAGGATCGATCACTAGATCCGAGGGGCACGATCGTTCGGTATAGGTTCAGGATTATTCGTCAATTCATTTCGTGGTCCAGCAGAATCACCCGCGATCCACTACTATGACAGTGGCGAACTGACTCCTAGTTATCCTTGGATCAGCCTGTAATGGCTCAAAATGTCACCTCGGCGATTTTATGATCGAAAATTAATTCACGATCGACTTTTCACTTAGTCGCACGAATTTTAAATCCCCTAGTTAGCCTTTCCCTACTGGTTAGTATCCCAGGAATGATCAGTTCCGGGTGAGAACTAACTACGAGCACATTCATAACACTCAGTATTTTATAAATCCCAAATTGACCAATTTTCAAGATGTCACACTAGGCATGCAAAAACTCGTGGTAGAGATGGACGCCGAGGTCGTCCTTCAGGGATTAAATGTCAAACAGGGTACTAATGTGTACTAATCAAACCAGTGATTGCAGTTCTTTGTGGATTCATATCAAGGAAGTCGAGTTCCGGCATAGCTACAGGAAAGGAAACCGGTGCGCGGATGGTTTGGCCAAAGCTGGAGAGAGCAACACCAATCACTCAGGACTGACGCCTGTGCACCCAGTTTGGTCCAGGATATACTCCTAAAAGACGTTTCCTTTGCTTGGAATAGTACCAGTAATATGTGTATTAGCAGCAACTCTTCTGCTGTCCCTGTTTGTGTCTCTCATTTGTCTAATACTGTCAGGCATATTGCCATTTCAGTTACTACTGTTTTTGTTTCGACATTTGTAATGTCACTCGCGTATGACAATGACATGCTGCTAGACAATGGTTTATTATTTATGCTCTTTACGTGGTTTACCAGAAAATAAAAAGAAAAAACGTGTAGGAATCTTATCACATCTGAATATATCTAAGTATTAAATTATGTCTCGAGATTAAGTTATTACAAAACCCAACTCGAATCGGATGATTAACAGCACAAGAAAGAAAAAAAACAGGAAAAGGAAGCTTCCTTCCACTATAGGACAAAATTGATGGGCTCACTTTATTTTAATATTATTGTGAGGGGTGAAGAAGTTTTGATGAGAAAAAGGGGGTCTGAGGAAGAAAAGTAAAATATTTTTTTTGTCCGGCGAGACCCGAGTTCGCCTGAGGCCGAGCTGGCCGGTCGCCGCCGTGGCCAACAACTAGTTGAGGAAGAAGAAGAATGAAAAAAAAGAAAAAGAAAATAATAAATAAGAGGAAGAAGAAGAAGTTCTCCCAAAAATGACTTCCGCTTGTCATTTTCCTCGTAGCTCAAGCCATTTTTGGGGAGCGAGGGGAGAAGGAAAATGTTTTTCCACAGAAAACGTTTTTCGCCCCTCGAACACCGGAAAATTTGAAAAGTATTTTTTGGGAAAACATTTTTCGGGGCACAAACACAGCCAGTATCTTAAGATATCTACATGTATCTAAATATTGAATTATGTCTCGAGTTTAAATCGTTACGGAACCCAAATTAGATGATTAACCGTATTATAAAAAAAAAGAAAGCTTCTTTCCACTATAGGACAAAATTGATGAGCTCGCTTTATTTTAATATTATTGTGAGGGGTGAAAAGTTTTGATGAGAAAAAGACAAGGCGTGGGCTAGCTACGGTCTGAGGAAGAAGAAAAGTAAAATATAATAGGTTTTCTTTTTGTAGCCCTGGGTTGTTCTCTCTTTTTTAAAGGAGCCGCGCAAGTGGGTCTCTCTGTCCCTTTTCGTCATGGCCGAACAGTAGCTTGCACAGTTGCCCTCCGTTTTCTTCACGGCTGAATAGTGAAGCATTTTGGGGCTCCTTCGGCTACTCATTATGACCGAAGCGATGAAGATGGGAGCTGCATGAAGTCCACGTTTAGAGTCTGTGCTGTGAGTTTATTTTATCTATTTAAATTATTTATTTATAAATACTTAGGGTTTGGATTTAATCTAGATACAGAAAATACTCGAGCGTGTGAGTGAGCGATTGTAAATTTGGATTCTCCAATTCTAGTAGATTATTTGGTATTGGCTCTCCCCGTGGATATAAGTACCGATACATCGGATCGAATCACATAAATCTTGGATGTCCTTATTATTCCTCGCTATTTCTCTGGTGATTTTCGCATTGACTTAATTTGTAATATCCGATTTAGCTTCCGTGTTAGTTAAAATTATAACACTAAGGTTGTCATGATGACATGAATAACATGTTAAGCTACATAACTAAACATGTCCAAGCATGTCATAAACAAGTTAAAAGGATCAACTCATTTATATGTTTATTAGTCATTTGTAAAGGGTACATAAACTTGTTTAAGCTCTATAGAAATACGCCCCACTATATGCGTCATGTGTCTATGTCGTGAACGGGTTGTGTTGAAAATTGGCAGCCTTAATTTTGCATAAGCATAAACTGAATTAGATATGCTAATATATGTTATCCGTGTGTAATATCTAATATGAGTGACTGAACGGCATCCCGTGCATCATACAGGGAGTGGTATAAATGCACAATGACAACTAAGTGTGTAATATGCTTATTTAGTATAGAGACCGACACACTTGCAATGTTTTCAGATTGATTGATTGATTTGAGTAGACTTGGAGAGATTGAATTCCTGGGATAGAAGGCACAATGGAAACTAAGTGAATTTCGGGGTGACAAATTTTGGTATAAGAGCTAAGTGAAATTGGAATGTTAAAACAAAACAAAAACACGTTTATTTAGCAAACTTGATTGCTATAAATAACCCAAGGAGAAGACAAAGCAAATTAATACATTGAAAAATTGAATTTCCACAGATACATGACCCAACACAAGCTTACAAACATACATGAACCAACACAAGCTTACAAACAAACTAATGCTTGTCGCAATTGCAAACGACTAATTACCAGAACTCTGTTATTATCTTCCCTAGAACTTAGATTGAATTTGGCCAACGATATTCTTATCAACTTGGAATGCTTTGGCAAGAATATCCATGGCAATATCCGGAGTTGACCCAAACACCGCATTCGTGACGGTGATGACACCCGGGTTTTGGCTACCAAGAGCTGCAATAGCAACGGCATTTACGGTACCAGCATTTCTCTCGAAATGGACAAGGCCCTGAGGGAAGACAAACACATCACCCTTTTGCAAGACCTTGGAGATGAGGCGATTATCGGGGTTGGAGGTGATGAACCCTACTTCGAGGGTCCCTTCCAAGACAACCAAAATCTGACTGGCACGGGGATGAATGTGGGGTGGGTTGACTCCCCACGGTGCATAATCGACACGGGCCAAGGAGATGCCGAGAGTGTTGAGCCCCGGGAGCTGAGCAGCGAACACCGGGGTAACCCTCGAGCCGACCGCATTGGATGTGTCACCCGGAAGATGGAGCCCACTGAAGGAGAAGTCATTTGCCTGAACCGTCTTGGGGTCCTTGCAGGCCAGGCCATTCACAAGCACTGCAAAATTTTAATGAGAAAACAACTAATTAATATGACTAAAGCAGCTTATGATGATGTGCTTCTCTATTATACAAACGAAATACACCCCAACTAACATACACCTCTCTCCAAATTGCTAGTAAATATTATTTCCCTTGCATTTGTTGAAAAATAAAATCCTTGTTCACTTGTACTTTTAGGGGAAGAAGAAATGCTACCTAGGACAAAATTCTAGAGGAATCTCTTGTGCATGCAAAACACAATTGATCAAATACATAAAGACTTCAATTTCTAATTCATTAGTACTTCCCCATCAACTCTAGATTAAAGAACCATACATAACTCCTGAAATAACTCCACAATGATAATTAGCGACTCTCAAAGAAATAAAATATGAAACCCTAAACTTTAAACCTTAAAATTAACTTTTCGTTAGAGGTGTACTTCGTCAATTGCGTAACAAAATGAGGTAACTCTCCTAAAAGGTAAGCTCCACTAGAGCTCTCTTTTTATTGTTGTTATTATTTTTTTGGGTAAGTAAAGTTAACATTACAAAATAACAGAGGTTTTGAGCGAGAATGAGGTGAGCATTCGTAAAGCAGGGCAAGCACCTTTTGAAATTGAAACTGTGGAATAAGCGAGTCTCCTTTATTATAATAGACACTTAAATGGGACACCAAAAGCAAAGATATCAAGCATTCTTATTCCAAGCTCCTGTTCTGGCCTCTAAACATAGGTTGGTGCAACATGAGTTGCAGTATTTCACCTGCACTGCCAGCTTGAGCGACACAGAAATCTTGCAGAGGACTATGATCAGCTGCTCCAAAAGTGAACAAAACACCCAAGAAACAAATCAAGAGGACACTCTTCGCCATCTCCGAAATCAAAATCTTCACGAGATGATCTTGTTTAGCTTCTCTAGTGCAGGTGGATATTAGTGCTAGCTATGGGAGGATGATGAATTCCCCTCAACAAGAGACCAAGTATTTATTGCCGTGCTTAGAAGAAGCAAAACGAAGATTCAGATGATAATAAAATTGAGTAATATTAAAAATATCACATGAAATCAGCAAGCCAGTCTCTCTGCGAAAGAGTCATATAGAACTTAGCTGTTCAAAAGAATCTATGTTGTTGCCGAACAGAACATGGACGTCCTGTCCCTAAAATAGTGATGGGAACGGAGGGATAGGCATTAGCGACGGCAACTTCACGCGTAAGAACCAGTCAGCAACGACATCTCTTGACCAAGTTTTATTAATTTAATAACTCGTTGCCGAAAGTGCGGGGGGGATGTGTTTATTCTCTCTAGATTCTACCATTCGGTTTTTGTTCTAATTACGTATTCAAAAGCCTAGACTATAATTTATTTGGTACGTCGATATAACTTAAACTTTTAGATGAGTTGAGTATAATATTCCATGCAATTTATTACTCTGCAAAGGGATAAGATAAGGCAGGCTAGTCTGAAATGGTCTTGCGGAGCGAATTGGTCTTTTAAATGAGCTAATGAGTAGATTTGAATGCACGATAAGAAATCAAGTCAGAGGTGGTGTTATGTAAAATTTGAGTCATCCTCTTACAGCTTCACATAATATGAATTTACAATCTTTATTCGAGTGATTTACTAACTTTTTTCTATTAAATTACCAACTGGTTCTAGCTAACCAACTCTCATTGAGCTATTTACCAACATTTATATGATTTTTTAATAAATCAAATTTGTCATTGTTTACAAACTTTTATTTATCTTTTTTACAAATGCCTTAAATTTATTCACTCTTATATGAATTTACCAAACTTTATTTGTGTAACTTACCCATTCTTCTCCTATTAGATTACCAACTAGTTTTGGTTTACCAAGTGTCACTTGAATTGATTACCAATATTATTTTTTTATTTGCCTTACTTTACAACCCTATTTACAAATTCTTTTAGATATTACAAACCTTAATTGGGGTGATTACCAACTTTTATCCGATTAAGTTGCCAGCTAGTTTTGCATTACCAATTCTTATTTGAGTTAGCTACTGACATTCATTTATTTTTTTCTATATTACAAAAAGACTTCTCTTATCAATTACAAACTTTTATTTACAATTCTTACCAATGCCTTAGATTTACCAACTACTAAATGAAATTTCCAAGCTTTAGTTGAGTGATTTATCACTTTTCTCCAGTTCAGTCACCAATTAATTTTAGATTACCAACTCTCATTTGAATTCCTTATGATCAATGTTCATTTGCTTTTTTAACTTACCAAATTCAAATTCTCTATGAGTTTCAACTTTTTTTTTCCTTACTTGATAACTTTTTTAATTCACCAACTCTTTTTATAAATTACCAACCTCAATTAAGTTGATTACCAACTTTTCTCCGGATGAGTTTTACCAACTTCTATTTGAAATCGTCACCAATAATTATTTGGGTTTTTACAATATCGACCTTTCTTATCTCAAATAGAAAAGCTTATCTTACATGTTAATAACTTTTATTTCTCTTTCTTATCGACGGCTTAAATTTACTAGTGAAATTCATCCTTTATAATTGTATGACTTATAAACTTTTCTCTATTAAATAACCAATTAGTTTTTTTATCACCGGCACTCATTTGAGTTGCTTACCAACATTTATTTGTTGTTTCTTGAATTTAGTAACTTTTCTATTGTGTTACCACTTTTATTTATCTTTCTTACTGATGCAGCTCGTATTCAAGATCGACAAACATTAAGAATCTCATCAATAAGTGAAAGCCTCATCTTTGACTTTGTCATTTGCTATGCATCGAAGCTTGCATCAAGACTCCTTGAGACGGTTACAAGCATTGGAAATATTGTACATTTAATAACTTCTAGTTTCTAGATTTGCTTTTAGTCTTTTGCTTTTTTATTTGTTGTACTATAAAAGGCCATCAAGTTTATGTACAAGAGGAGACTGAATTTGATTAATGAAATTTTCCTATTGCAATTCCCTTAAACCTCGAAGAGTTCAAACCCTTTCAAAACCTAAAAGAATTTTCACTCCATCCTTAAAGAGTTGCAGCTTTTGACGTCTACATCCTTGAAGAGTTGCAACAATCAATCTAGAAGAATTGATGTCATTTCAACTTCCTTGGAGGCCTAGAAGAGCAACCACTGAAGTTCTTGTCCGTTTCCGCGTCTTGATCAGTCACGACCATCCATTTCCTTTCGAAATCGACAACTCTACAGTGATTATCTGAGAAAACTCAAAGCATAAAACTTGTAGATCCAGAAGTCTTCTTTCTTTTGCCTTTGGAATTAGGTCAATCTGATCTAAGATGACAAAGTTATACACATTTTCCCGAATTAGCGCATAATTGATATGTCTGCTCGTTTTTGTGACGGAGTTTCCATGTATACAAGTCACTATCCCGATCCTATTGTTCGAGTAGTCGATCCAGGGCTAGATCACTTGCCAATTTTTTAAATTCATTAACTCTTTTTAAGACTTACGAACCTCAATTAGTGTAATTACCATATTTTCTCAGATCAAAATTTCAATTAGTTTTTCGTTACCAACTCTTACCAACATTTATTTGGTTTCTTCTATAAATTACCGACTTCTCTTATTTGTAATGCAGAAACCGCTCTTACCTTTTATTATTTTTTATTACAATGCCTTAAATTGAACGATTATTGTATGAAACTAATTTTGTGTTACCTTTCACCAACGTTTTTCATGTATACTTACCAATTTTTCTCCATTTATGTTAGCAACTAGTTTTACGATATCGAGTCTCATTTGAGTTGCTCACCAATATTAATTTAATTTAATTTACAATTTTTTTCATTGAATTAACAATTTGATTTGTCTTATTTATCATTTTTTTATCGATTAAATTATCAACTAATTTTGCATTATTAACTATTATATGAGTTAGTTACATACCAATGTTTAATCATTTTAAATTTCCAACTTCTCTCATCTCTGGCAAAAAGAACTTTTCCTGTTGTTTACCAACTTTCATGTAACTTTCTTACAAACACCTTAAATTTACTAATTATTATGGGAAATTACCAACTTTAATATAATTCATTTTTCTACTTTTCTCCTGGTAAGTTATCAACTAGTTCTAGATTGCTTATTCTCATTTGAGTTTGTTTCGAACAAATAATTGGTCTTTGTAGTTTACCCAAATTTTTTTTTTGGGTTACTTAATTGGTAATAAAGTTGGTAAGTCACCAAATAAAGGTTGGTAATTTGAAATAAAATTGGCAAAATTTAGGTTGTAATTAAAACATAAATAATAGTTGATAATAGATAAGAAAAAAGTTGACAATTCAAGAAATTAAACTTGATAAGTAACTCAAATAAAAATCGGTAATCCAAAACTAATTGGTAGCTTAATTAAAGAAAAGTTGGTAAACATCTCTAATTAAGGTTGGTAATTTTTTTTTACAAAAATCTAGTAAGTTCAAAGCGTTACCAAGAAATGCAAATTGGTATATAATTAAATGAGAACTGGTAATCAATTACTTGGTAATTCAAATAAGATTGCTAACCAAGACAAATAAAAATTTGTAACTCAAAAGAATAGTTGGTAGATAAGAAAAAACAATTGAATGTCATGTAGTAATTCGAGTGAGAGTTGGTTACCTAAACTAATTGGTAATTTAATCTAACAAAAGGTGCTAAATCACTCTAATTAGTTTGTTAATTGCATTTATGGGTTAGTAAATTTGAAGCATTGGTAAATTATGCAAATTAAGGTTTGTAAGTTAAGTATGAAAATTGCTAAATTTCAAACAATAAAATAAATTTGTAATTTTATCAAAGTGTTGGTAAGCTACCAATAAAATACCTGAAAAATAGTAACCAGTCATATTTTTACTAACAGTTTTTTAACACTTATCCACACCAATTGAAATTTACCAGCATGGAAAATTACTACTATTTTGTTGCAGTATTGAGCTTGCTCGTTCTTGTCAAAGTTTTGTCTTCTTTTCCTTTTTTTGTGGGTCGGTTTTTTGTTTTCCCTTTTGATAAGCAAGAAATTTGATTTCTTGAAATGTAGACGTTAGCTACAAGCCCACAGCAATCAAGTCAACCCAAAAAAAATAGCAAACCAGACTGCTATAAATAATCCACGCACAAGACAAAGCAAATTAATACAACTGACAAATATTAATTGGGAGAAGTGTCAAAAAAGTCATAAACCTTTTGCATTGGTGCCAATTTAGTCCTAAACCTTTTTTTGATGCCAATTTAGTCCTAAACCTTTTGCATTTATGCCAATTGAGTCTTAAACCTTTTTTTGGTGCCAATTCAGTCCTAAACCTTTTGTATTGGTGCCAATTCAGTCCTAAACCTTTTGCATTAGTGCCAATTGAGTCCTAAACCTTTTTTTGGTGCCAATTGAGTCCTAAACCTTTTGCATTGGTTCCAATTCAGTCCAAAACCTTTTGTATTTGTGCCAATTCAGTCCTTCCGATTAATTTAGCTCAAAAAGATTTAGGACTGAATTGGCACAAATGCAAAAGGTTTAGGATTGAATTGGCACAAATGCAAAAGGTTTATGATTGAATTGGCAACAATGCAAAAGGTTTAGGACTCAATTGGCACCAAAAAAAGGTTTAGGACTGAATTGGCATAAATGCAAAAGGTTTAGGACTGAATTGGCACCAAAAAAAGGTTTAGGACTGAATTGGCACAAATGCAAAAGGTTTAGGACTGAATTGGCACCAAAAAAAGGTTTAGGACTAAATTGGCATAAATGTAAAAGGTTTAGGACTCAATTGGCACCAAAAAAAGGTTTAGGACTAAATTGGCACAAATGCAAAAGGTTTATGACTTTTTTGATACTTTTCCCAATATTAATTTCTAAAGATACATGACCCAACACAATCTTACAGACAAACTAATGCACGTCGCAATTGCAAACGATTAATTACCAGAACTCTATGTTGATA